TCAAATAGTGTTGCATATTTTTGGATAATAGGCTATTTAAAGTCAGAGTACAAATTTATTATAACTGGTGAATTTTCGAAAAACCTCATATTTAATAGCTGATCTGTTTTTTACGACCTTTATGGAAAAGCAACCTTTTATTAGATTTTCCGATTTTGATATTGGTGAAATTATATGTTCAAATTCTTACCATGATGGGTGGGTAAATGATTCATCTATAGCCACACTCACGCCCATCCCGAAAAAACAGATGTTAGATCCTGCAAGATCCAATGAGGTCTTACTTCTATAAGGTTTTTTCTATGATCTTGTTACAATATCGAACAATATCTTACATGTTCATTTTTTTAAAGATGTTCTCAGATTTTGATTGTGCGGTGTCAGCAAATAATCTTACAAGACTCAATGATTAAGACACTGATTTGGACAGACTGAATCCTTCTTGTCAGATCTTAACAGATCATATAAGATCCAAAAAAAGAAACATACACGGTACATAATGTAGATCTTGCCTGTTAGTATTTGATCGTGTATGGTCTGTTCTGTTCTTTCCCTTATTCGAAAATAGTTGATTCCATCAGCTTTCCGATGAAGAACAGTACCTGGGAAAAAGACTCGAATAGTTTACGTCAGTTTTTTTCTTCTTTTTCTATACTAATAGTGTAGAAAACGGTTATTTTTATTTTTCACCTTTCTATATTAATAGAGTACAAAACGGTTACTTGTATTCCTCATTTTTCTGTAGTGATAAAATAGTAAATCCTATTTATTTTTTATTTTCTGTATTGATAACATAGAAAATCTTACTTTTTATTTTTTATTTTTCTACATTGGTAACAAAGATAACAATTTGTTTTATTCTCTATTTTTTCTATATTGTTGACATAGAAAAATCTTAATTTTTATTTTGTATTTTTCTATATCGACAATATAGAAAAATAAGAATTAAAACTAACTGATATTTATATTATCAATTAAAATCAATAAGAATTCAAAAATAAGATTTTCTATATTATTGTTATAGAGATATCAAAAATTAAAATTGAAATTTTCTATATTATCAATATAAAAAATCAAAAACAATAAATAAAATTTTCTAAACTGCCAATTTAGAAAAACAAGAAATGAGAATTAAGATTCTTGTATTATTGATATAGAAAATAAAAGCAATAAAACTAACTGTTATGTATATTACTAACATAGAAAAATTAAAATTAAAACTAATTGTTATTTATATTATTAATATAGAAAAATGAAAAATAATGAATAGGATTTTATATAATATCAAATATAGAGCAAATGTTGACTGTACTTGTTCTAAAATACGACTGAAGTTTATGTGGAAAAAAACGAAGCAAGGTAGCCGGTCAGACTGATTATTTCCATGTGTATAAGAGATATTTGAGAAGTTTGATTTAATTGAAATAAATCTATAGTATTAATAAGCATCTCATATAGCTCTATGCCATCATCTATAAGTAGAATACAAAATTACCTACTAGAATCTTATGTCTCACAATCTCTTTGATTTAAAAAGCAGAAAGTATTGTTTTGTTTCTGACTCTCATCTTCGAGTTGTTTGACACATAATTAAAGTTCTCATACCGTTTTACATGTATTTGTTTTTTGTTGATGGAAGAAAAGAAATAATACTAAAATGTACTTTCTTCCAATTGTACTGAGACACTAAACATATTAAAAATACATGACATTACATGTAATAAAAATGAAAATTGATTAAATAGTATTAAATTTAATCAAGATCTCGATTATAGCTAGATTCTTCATAGACAAATTAAAAAGGATGAAATTATTTATAAGGAGCTTATAAAACTGCATGACATTTTTTATTAACTTCATCGGTTCTGTAACTGTCCAATCAAGAGATAATCATAGAAGTATTGTTTCTAGTTTAAAGCTCAAATCAATATCAACCTTTAGAAAATTCTAGACCAAGAAAAAAAAAAACTTTCTTCTATGATTTAACCAGTGCAGAATGCGATACAATAATAATTTGAAGAAGAAGTCTTCACACTTATTGCTATTGAGAATAGCTAAAATCATGATGAAATCTTTTACGATCGTTGTTCTTTTTGTGAGAATCCCCAAAAATTTATACCTATTGAATAATGTACAAAACAAAAACTTATAAAGATTTTGGATTAAGGTTTTGACAGGAGATTCGTATTGTCTTGTAAAGAAGCGAAAATATTTAATTGTAGAAAGTTCGAAATCGATCCGTGATCGAAACTGCTATTGTTTAAAAAAAACGTGTTCCATACCCTATTAAGTTGAAAATGTGTAATACATTAGAAATGAATTCAGAATAAAAGTTTTGATTGATTCGTATATAGATTATTATTTGTGCTATAATGTAGAGTAATGAACATGACAGATTCTTCAAATATTCTTGAACTTGGGAAAGATTTGTTTTTGAGTTCTTCTTATCTACTAAAATTTGAACTTACGTATTTTTTTATCTAAACTTATCTTATTTAGTACTTCGATTAGCCTTTCTACAAACTACTTGTTTGTTTGAGATTCAGGAATAAATTACTCAATAATAAGTATGATGCAAAATTCATGACATAAAATACTTTCCAATGATGTATGATTTATATTTGTCACACATTCGTAAATGGAATAAGAAAGAAAAATACTTACACAAAAAATTTGTAATTTTTTTATATGAATTAGTCAAAAAACGTCTTATGCATGGGAGTTAAGTATAATTAACTATCGTTATTATCTAGCAAGATGTTTTTAACGAATTCATATAAAAGTTGCAAATTTATTTTGTCTCATTTCACTCAGAAATGTGTGACGAACATAAATCATACACCGTTTCCTATCAACTGATAACAAAATTGCTTTCCTTACGTTAAAATTCTATTATAACTCATTTTATTGTAAAATCCAAACAATAAAAAATCAAATAATTTTTAAATATATTTCAAAATCGAACTAACGAAATCAGTGAATATGTTGGAAAAATTCGATAAAACAGAAAATTTCATTCACAATAAAAATCCGAGTTTATCGCAACTTTTCACATTACCAGTTAAATTTTAGTTAGTTTTAGTGAAACTAAGGATTCTTGTACAAAATATTTGAAAAAAATCAACAATATTTGTTTTCAACCTTGAGAAAATCAGATTCTAATCAAATTCACAAGTAAAAAGCTTTTGTAGTTGAGAGCAATTCAATACTGTTTAAAACAAATTACAATGATTCATTTCAATGAAATCAATGTTTATTTCTACTCCATACTTTTGTTTTCATTTTAGTACCACTACGTGCAAGTTCCATTGATATTTCTCCAAATGCAACATGGTCACAGAATGGTATCACTGTTGCTGGAGGAAATGGACGAGGCAGTGAAACCAATCAACTCGATCGTCCATATGGTTTGTACGTCGACGATGATCAAACGATTTATGTCGCTGATTGTTGGAATCACCGTATTGTGGAATGGAAATCTGGTGCAACGAATGGAAAAGTAGTTGCTGGTGGAAATGGAGAAGGAAATGGAGCTCATCAATTAAAATGGCCACGAGATGTGATTATCGACAAAGAGAGCGATAGTCTCATCATCAGCGATTACGAGAATAGAAGAGTAGTTCGATGGCCTCGTCGAAATGGTACTCGTGGAGAAACAATTATTTCAAATATCTCTTGCTGCGGTTTGACAATGGACGACAATGGTTATCTGTATGCCGTTGACGTTGGAAAACATGAAGTGAGACGATATAAAATGGGTGACACTAAAGGAACAGTGGTTGCAGGTGGTAATGGAAAAGGAAATCGTCTCGATCAACTCTCTTATCCCCGCTACGTATTTGTCGATCGAGAACATTCAGTTTATGTGTCTGATTATGAAAATCATCGTGTAATGAAATGGGAAGAAGGTGCAAAACAAGGCATTGTTGTAGCCGGTGGTCAAGAAAAAGGAAATAGTCTTACACAATTGAATGAACCTCGAGGAGTCGTGGTCGATCAATTGGGTACTGTCTATGTGGCTGATTTATGGAATCATCGAATCATGCGTTGGCCAAAAGGAGCCACACAAGGAAATATCATTGTTGGTGGAAACGGTAAAGGAGCACAGTCGAAACAACTCAATGAGCCCATAGGTTTATCATTTGATCGATATGGTAATCTCTATGTCGCCGAATGGGGAAATAATCGAGTACAAAAATTTAATATCGAATGAACCCGGTACGATGATGAATTTTCTTTTCTTTTTTGTTCTGTTTCTCTTACAAATAAATCTTGATTGAATGAAAAAATGATTTCATAGCTATTCTATTCTCTTCGTGCACGCGACCAGGAACCATCCTGGTGGAGCCGTGGCGAGCGTAAAGCTCATGCACACGCGGGAAGACCCACATCATCCATATGCACCCATCCGATGTCATATGTCGGTGAGTTTGGGGGCCCGATCGTGCGCCACGGACACCAAGACAGTTCCTGGCCAGGCTTTTTATGGACTACCCGGAAGTCCTTCTTATAAAGCGAAACCCTAAACTCAACGTACCTCACTCACCCTAACTATTCTCATCTCAACGAAGAAAAGAAAAAGAAAAAAAAATTAACTCACCCGTTGATGTTGAATGATGACGTCTTTAACAGGAAAAGAAAAACATGAATATAAAAGATCACAAGAGGACTTACCACCCTCTGTATGATCCAATAAAGAAAAGAAAAAAGAAGAAAAAAATAAAAACTGATACCTACATTTTTTTATTGTCTTGATTTGAATTGAATTGTATAATTTTGTATCGTTGCAGCCAATCTAAAATATAAAAAAAAAGATTAGAATTTGATTCAATAAATTGAATGATTTTTACATGGAAAATCGTTCATATTTATACGTTAAAAAGTCGATAATTTTCTTTCTTTTTTCCTCGTCAGAGAGTGATGAAAAGATGATAAAAATTAAGCTATTATCAACATACACGCATACATTGAGATAAAGTCAATCACAGTATCTCAATGTATGTGTATGGATAATGCTTAATTGACGTACACACTCATTATGTCATATTATCATTGATCATCAATGACAACATGAAGCATAACTTACGGACGAGAGAAGAAAAGAAAAAACATTATTGTCTAGGCCTGTTTTTCATTCTTGTCTGTGTCATGTTCGTTTGTGAGCACACGAAGCAGACGAACACGCAATATTCAAGTATGTGTTCATCATTGATTTCGTTTCTCTTTGTTCGATAGATCAGCAACAACATGGAAAAATTTTTATCATATATTCGCAATTTTTAATATGTAAAATATGAATTTATTGTAATTATTGCAACTTGTCAACCTGAAGGGCGTCACTTGTCTGATTTGAATGCTATATGGGTTGCTCGAAATCAATTTATTTTTCTTGATAAAAAAATTATATTGTAAGTTTAAATTTGTTCCTTTTTTTAAATTTTTTCATTAATTTTTTAGGTTGGTACACGTCTTTTATTAATTCGTGAAAATTATGATATTATTTTATATGATGCTCAACAAAACCGCTCATTAACAAGTATAAGAAAAAGCAATATGGTCAAATGATAAAGTATGCACTTATTAATGATGATCATGGAGTTATTTGTACAGTTGATTTACCTATTTATAGAACAAAAGTTAATGAAAATATTGTTTTTTTTGTTTTCATACAGAAGTTCGACCAAAATTAGATGGTAAAGATTGTTGGGGAAAATTAACTTTTATTTATTTACAAGATCAGATTCCAATGCTATTAGGAGATGTTGAAGAATGCATTAAACTTCTTAGACAATGAAATCAAAGTAAGATTTTAGATTGTTCTTTTCTTTTTTCTAAGAGAAAATTATTAAATTTGTTGCGCTTCTTGTACACTGGAATCACTTGATGAAAAAGTAATTTATTATTGACAACAAAAAAAATTCTCATCTTAATACTTCTTCTGAAGGTCTTTAGAAAAAAAAACAAAACAATATAGAAAATTTTATAGTTTTCTAATATTTTCAGCTAAAAGTCCTGAAATCTAGTTATAAATTTTCGTGCCAGTATATCAATTCTTTTGAGATTTTAAATAATATCTAAGAATGTTTAATTATGTCTAGCATATTCTGGGTGCGTCCTTTTTCGTCCCTATCTTCCTTACATCCTGACACATGATTAAGGACGAAAAAGGACGCACCCCATATCCTTTATCTAAAGATTTTTCCGTACTATTGGATAGAGAAGTTTATGATAATTATCGATGTTGCTTTTGATATTGACAGATAAGATTTTTTTGAAAATAGATTACAAGAAATTACCATGTCATAGTTAATTTAGTGTTCCTGCTTTGATTGATATCCATTTGAATGTAGATTTTAAAAAAGTAAGAAGACTTCTCATATTCTATGTCAAAAAAGAAATAGGTCGGTAGACTGAGATTTCAACAAAGATGTTGTTACTTGTTCTTTATTTAATTGATATGTTAGATATGAAGTATTAAGATAGACATACATTTAATCAATATTAATCTCGTGTTAAATTTCATAATTCAAAATAAAATATATTTTTTTAGTTACTTGAAACAAATCTACGTGCTAAATTAATTTTACCACCATGTCCAAGAAGTCAACAAGAACTAAAGCAGGTTTAATATCAAACATAACAGCAAAACTTGCTGCAAACATTCATATTGATGAAATAGCAAGAAGTGGTGAAGATTAGACTGATGATGCTATAAAAATTGAAGGTGTAAGTTGAGGTGATACTGAAGTTGAATTATCACCTGATCTTGTATGTTTTTATTCAAATATTTAAATTATTTGTTTACTTAATAAATTTTTTTTGAAGTTATTTTAATTATTAAGGCGTAATGAACATTGACCAAAATTATTGTATCTACTACTTGGATTAAAATAAGAAAAATTAGTTGGACGCCTTCAAATTGCTTATTGTTTAACAAAAAACGAATAATTTCAAGATGAACAATGAATTGAAATATGTAAAGAATATATTGTTAGTTGACAAATGTCAATGACAAAAACGAAGATTTAGCGAAAGATGATGAAAAACGTTGATATGAATTAGTTGCCTGTTTTACTCATTGACAATTACAATCAATGCACAAAATCATAAAATTAAAATCTGCAGTTAATCAAGCATTTAAATTAAAAATTTATACAACTGCAACAAGCTTCACCAAACGTTTATTGGAATTGGAACCAACACCTGATGTTACTCAATAGATTTTCTGTTTTAGTATTAATCTTTCATTTTCAAACCAAATACTCTCATTCTTTCTTGACTTCAACTTTGAAAGGTTTTAAAATAAACCAAAAAAACAAGAAAGAAAACATATCTTTAATGCACTCAAGATATATCAAATCTGTTGATCGAAGTTGTTCATGTGTTTTTGATTTATTGGAAACAATTGAGTTTATTCTTTGTTAGATGAAACATAATTTTGATTGAATTATTTTAGAAGGGGAACAAAAAAATAAATTTTTTTTTGTATTATTTTGTTTAGACACGAAGAGTATTAAATGTTCGTGAAAAAAATCCAATTGATGGACATCCATTAAATTATGATGAATATAATCCATTTAATATTTGTGCAGCATCCTATGTACCACATTTATCGGTATGAAATTTAATAATGAAATCGAATTTAATTTAAAGTAATCTTTAATTCTTGTTTAGTGAAAATTCATTATCTGGTACAGCCCATTTACCGGATTTTATAGGACAATTATGTCGTGTTACAAAAGCAACTGAAATTGGAATTCTAATTCTATTATCATTATTAACTTTTAAGGCATATATTTATCATTTTGAAAAAGTAACGTATCATTAGAACGTTTTTCTCTTATTTCAAGATAAAGAAATCCTTTTCTAAAACGAAAATTTAAAATCAATACATTTGTTTGAAATATGTTTACTTCAGTAGACATTGAAATTCTTTGATAATATACAAAAATAAATAATCTCGGTTTATAAAACGACATCAATGCAACTGAGTACTTTATAATTGTTTAAGAAATTTTATCGACATGATTTCATTTGATATTCAACCTTTGCAATATCTCGATTGACTCACTCAATTATTAACCTATACGCACATCTATTAAGTCATTAATAAGACTAAGAGATAATTAAATGACTAGCGATATCCTTTTTTTTTTATAGATTTCTTCAAATTGAAATAAAAATAAAAATTAACAATAAGAAACAACTTTTCATTCTAAAAACTAAAATGGAAGATAGTAATGATGATTTTCTATTCAATGGCTTGTTTTCCCCATTTGAAAAATCTTCGTTGATTTCGATTGACTTTTCTCCTGTTTCTTAACTACAGAGTTTCAAAGTAAAAACAAAAGAAAAACCTATTCTAAAAACGAATTTTCTTAAATTAATATCGTTTGTAGATAGTCATCATGGTGATGAAAATCTTGACTCTACTATAGAAAAACATGATCTTAATGAAGCATTTCCAAGAACTGTTATAATAACAACAATGAAACGAGAAACCACATAATTGGAAAGATGTGTTATTGAAAAACAAATTCAATCATCATTAAATCAAAATGAAAATATACAAAACTGAAACACTAAGTAAAATATGTGGAGATAAACATCATACAACAGTTAAACAAGATGGTAAAATAATTCGAGAATATGGAAATGTAACAATGAATGAATTACATCATATTGATAAAGACATTCGGATTTTTTTAAAAAGATTTTTTGTTAAATAAAAGATTTTTGTTGACATGATCTGCTAAAAATAAACGAAAGAAAATATTATTTGAGTTTGTTTTTTTTTTTTATTTTGAAAAAAAACATGTAGTTGTCTCGCTGTTTTTTACTTAATATATTTTATTTTTTCTGCTTCATCAAAACTAAATCTCTTTTCCGATTGAAAATAAACTTGTCGACAATACCATCATTTTCCTCGACAACGACAGAAATAAAAGAAAAAAAGGTGTCAATTCAGGTCGGATGAACATCCAACAGCTTATAAACAACTAGACAAAAACTTTTTTTTCTCTAATCTTCATTTATAACTAACTCACAAATTAGAATATCAATTTAATCTTGTTATTAGTTTCTTTGAAAAAGAATCTACAAATATTTCAATATCAATCTTCACCATAAAGTAAATTATTTAGATACATTGGGTAATAGATGAGTATCATTCGTGGAGGAAGGAACTTTTCTTTTCTTGATATTCTCATTAATCATTGAGTAACACTGTTAAAGAACACATAAACGGATGCGAAGAAAGCTTTGTGAAAATTAAGAAAGTTACTGTTCTCCTTTTCTTCTGACTATTATTTTCCTTTTATTTTCACTAATTCATTAAAAAAGGGCGTATGTGTTAATCTTCTTCTGATCTAAAGTCACACCCACACCCTCAAGTCTGATTATGAGAGTGATAGAGTTTATCAGCACTGGCACTAAACATTTATATGTCAGCCGGTTATCTAAGTCATAATATGATAGGAAATTTTCGATTTTTTGAAAAACAAGACAATCGAAAATAAAATACATGAAAAGCAGTCGTATATATTATTTATTCCTAGAAATAAAAGTCTCTTTGGTGACTAGTCTGAGGAAAAACATTGTCTTTTATATCTCACAGTCATAATAGTGATAGAAACTGTATAGTCTTTCTTTCAACAACAGTTCTGATCAGTCTAATTCGATACCGATATGGTAGCAGGCTATAGATTGAAAAGGGTTGTAAAAACTGTGATGCTCGAAATAAGCTTCAAAAAGGACAACTTTTTCATGGTATAGACTTCCCCAATCTGATAAAAATTTTGTTTACAAAGATTTCTTCTAGTTGTATTTGAAGATGATGTCGCCATCTTTGAAGAACTTGATACATGTAAATGAGTATAACATGATATATCTTCCTGAAGACTTCTCACAAATAGAATCTTAAAAGGACAATCAATACATAAATGATTTTTTCGACACTAGTTAGAAACTTATCGACCATTTACAACTCTATTTTGTGCTATGAAAAATTAAGTCTTGAGTCGAACTTTCATCCTAATTCCTTGTGTCGTTGTGATTTCTAGTTTATCTATTTATGAATAAATATCAGTAAGAATCATTAGTGTAATTGTCAATCTTTCATGTATATTATTAATTCAATAAGAATCATTACATTTCGATTCGTTTTTCTTAAAAAGAATATCAGTAAAACCAAACTGTGATGTGGTATAAAAAATAAAATAATCAGTATATTTTTGAATTTATGAATCCGTACCTATTGTAAATAAATGGTGATTGTGAAATGTATCACTTTCAGTATAGTACGATGAGTATGAAGGAAAAGTAAAGGGCAATTATCATACTAAGCTCAGTTCTTAGATGAGAAGTACAACAACACAATTCAAGTGTATGGATATTGCTGGAATAAAATTTGAGTTGGGATCTGTTCGAGTCGAAGCCTGCAGCTGATAGAGTCCAGATTCAGTTTTTTGTTCTTCGAATCCACGAAAATGTACACCTGCAACTCAATAACTCCAACAGTCCTTTTAAATCGTGTTTGACAAAACTAAAAAAAAATTGTTTTATTATTGCTTTGAAAAAGCTTGTTAGCATAGTCCATTTAGTGTCGATATATGGAACTCATATATACCACATAAGATAGAATAGCTGCTAAGATCTGTAATGAAAAAAGGAGTCGAAAACCTTCGATTTAAAGTTTACACTCATTATATTCTTCGAAAATATATGAAAGTTCTACAAAAAACACTTTTACATTAATTTAATAGAGTTGATTGGATAATATATTTTTCTATTTATCATGAGATAAAATCTTAATATCATTTTGGTCATTAAATAGATGTATTAATTGTGTTATTTATTCAACATTTTCAATAGATAAATTTGGAAATATTTTTCATCAGTCAGATTTATCTTAAAAGAACTTTGCATTAATCTTAGAACCATTAATTTTTAATTCTCTGTCTCTTTTTTCTTGTATAAAATATATTCATTTTGATGCAACAAATTCGAATTGTTATAATGTTATTTATCAATTTCTTTTATTTTTCATCATTATCAACAAGTTCTTTGTTTTCCTAATCTTAAATTTTTGGAAAAGTATCGAAAATCAATTATATCGATGAAATTCGAGAGTTTTTTATTTATAGAAATCTTCTTCAACAGGTGTTTAAATTACCTGTCGGACACAGACTTACCGAAACTGGAACTAATTTTTTTCTTTGACCAACTACCAGAATCAAGACTAGGAATCAGAGCGAAATCTACATTTAAATGAGATGTGGTGCTACTCTATGCGATTCTGAATAAATCTCTTTACGAAAACCTCAACGATATTATGGACATATCACATTTATCTGGTTCAGGTAACAACAAAATAAGTTTTATCAATTGTTTCGTATTTACTTACGAGAAAAAAGCTGAAAAAATTACTTTTGAATGCCTTCTTATCCTAATCCGCATGCTTTTGCTAGAGTTTACGTGCATTTTGTAAAACGTGTTGGAACGTGCGTTTTGTTCATTAAAAATACAAACAATCAGTTCGAGAATACTTTCTTCTTATAGCTAAATTTCGACACTCATATGCTTATACTCGTGTCACTGTAGTTATAGTCTTAGACGTACACTTCTTTAGATAAAGTTTATACAAAGTTGAGATTGACACATATAGTTTTTTAATTGATCAACATAAAAAAAGTAAGACTTACTTGAAAATTTTATCCAATGGATATATTTAATAAAACGACATTGTCTAGCCTCGATTGCACTGCATTGTGATATGACATTATAATTTCAACAATTAGAGGTCGAAAAAATAGATAAGGAAAGAAAACAGATGAGGTTCAGTATCTCATACATCTAGCAATAGTAAAATAAGTTCGTTAGTTTGCTATACAAGTTTCATTCAAGCACTATTACATTCAGGGATTTGAATAGTATCAAACATTGTATCACTAGATCACGTAAATGCAATATAACAAAAAACAAATGTGCTTTGGCACGCTGTTTCGAACGAATGTCTTTTTTGCGGATATTTCCAACAATTTGTAAACACTAACTAGAGAATCTTTCCAGATTCTTCATTCTAATTGCAATGATTGTTTTGCCTGTAGATATTACATCTTGATTTAGTAATAAATCTCAACATATTTGATTTCCAAGAAACTCACATTTTCGAATTTCGTTTTTGAACTGTTTCTACGTAAGTGAAGCATATATTCCACATTAAATATACAGTTTCAGAATTTGAGATTCTATATATTCGAATTAAGACGTTTTTGAGCAGTAACTATTTTTAAAAGAGTATTGCATCTCGGAAATATGTTGTGCCGCAAACCTGAGATATCTAGTGAGGTCTCTAAAAATAAAAATAAATTATATGTATAAGAGTAGTAGATTAGATATTCTATTTACCATGTTTTTTCGTTGATTTAATAGTTGATAAATCAATTGTTTTTTCTGATAAATGTCAATTAACACACATTCGGCTCAATATTTCTGATGATAATTCGCCTATTAATATTCACCAATGTTTAATGTCATATTCTATTCCTTTATCAAGTGAAATAACTGATCAAATTCAATTCTGTTGTTTGACACTTCGTTATTTATATATTTGTCTTAAATGTGCATGCTTTCTTGAACATTTTATTAAATATATACTCAACATTGAACGATTGTCA